CCGACTGGTCGGGGCTACCCCAGGGAGCAAGCCCCAGTGAGGCCAGAGTCGTTCACACAAGAAAGCTCTTTCTACTTAAACAGACATTTCTCCAAGGAATATAAACAAATGGCCAATAAGCTCATGAAAAATGCTCAACATCACTAATCATGATGCAAATGCAAACCCAAACTACAATACCACTTCATAACCACTAGAGTGATTATTGTAAGAGGGGAAAAAAAAAAAACCAGAATACGACAAGCCTTGACAAGGATGTGAAGGGACTGGAGCCCTGGGCACCACTGACAGAAATGTAAGATGGTACAGGCACTTGGGAACCAGTGTGGTGTTTCCTTAAAAAATTAAAAACGGATTACCACATGATATAGCAATTCCATCTGCAGGTTTACACCCAAAAGAATCAAAAGAAGGGACCCAAACAGATATCTGTACACTCACGTTCACAGCAGCATTACTCACAACAGCAAAAAGGTGGAAGCAACCCAGATGTGCAGCCACAGAGGAAAAAATAAACAAAACGGGATGGATGGTGGATGGATGGATGGATGGGTGGATAGATAGATAGACAGATAGATAGATAGATAGATAGATACAACGGGATGCCATTCAGCCTTAAAAATGAAGGAACTGATACCTACCGCCTGGCTGGACCAATGGGAGCAGGCAGAGGGTGGGACCACATTGCCCAGGTAACAGAACAGTCTGCCCTGGGGGCAGATCCCCCACCCCTGGGCAAAATGGCAGCAGGAGGAAGCACTGCACTGGGCATGTGCAAGGCTAGCAAGCTACTTGGATAGGGGAAAGCTCTCCTGCCTCCTTCCTGTACCTGATTGGGAGTGAGACCAAGGGAAGGCAGGCCCATGCATGTGTGCACCACAGAGGCCCAAATGGCAGCAGGGGGAGGTGCTGGATGGAAGAAGCCTGTCAGTCTAGCCTGGGAAAAGGAAGGGATTGGTCAGGAGTTGGACCCTCAGGGAGCACTGGGAAGTTTGGAGAGTTCATTGGGCATTCTAAGAAAGCATCTGTTGGTCCTTCCCAAACCCAAAACTAATATGAATCAAAGGGAAGGATGGAACACTCTCTTGCCCACCTGGCAAACAATAGCCAGTGCATTCGTGAGACCCCTGGCCCTGGAGGTCACAGGACCAGATGGTGGCCCTGGCCCCACATATGGGTTCCAGGAGGGAGCCTAAAACTGAACAGGAGTCAGGAACAAGCCGAACTGCCTGGATGGCCACTCAGCAGCCTCCTGCAGTTCCCAAAGGGCAGTACTTTAGATGGCAGAAGGAACTCTGGACATGGCCTCTGGTTTGGGTCTGACTGAGGACAACTGGGCTTTCCTTGGGGGCTTTCACAGAGGATGGGCTTTAAGACAAGATTCTGCCATTCTCCCAGATGATGCAACACCTGAATAAAAACCTCGTTCTTTTCTCACCAGCCTCTGCCTCTAGAATCTTCTTATTGTGGCAGCAGGCAGCCAAACCCTTAGTTTGGTTCTGTAATAGAAACTCTGACATGTTACAGCAGAGATGAATCTTGAGGACATTATGCCAAGTGAAATAAACCCGGCACAACAAAATACAAGTATTGTATGTGACTCCACTTACATGAAGTACCTAGAAGAGTCAGACTCGGAGACAGAAAGTAAAATGGTGATTGCCAGGCCTGAGGAGGGAGAGTGGAAAGTTAATAATTAATGAGGACAGAGCTCCAGTTTTGCAAGATGAAAAGAGTTCCGGAGACAGATGGTGGTGATGGAGCACAACAGCATGAATGCACTTAATGACACTGACTCTACACCTAAAAATGGTTAGGATGGCAAATTTTAAAATGCACATTTTACCACAATTAAAAAATTCTTTTAAATTTTATTTATTCATTTTTAGAGAGAGGGAGAGAGAGGGAGGAAGAGAGGGAGAGAAACATCCACGTCAGAGAGAAACTTCAATCAGTTGTCTCTCGTACTCGCCCGGACTAGAAACCAAACCCGCAGCCCACGCGCATGCAGTCTGACCGGGAACCAAACCAGAAACCTTTAGCTTTGCAGGACAACACCCAACCAACTGAGCCACACTGCTCAGGGCCAGTTAAAAAGTTTTTTAAAGAAATAGAGAACTTTCTAACAAAAACAGGGTTTCTTAAACCTGCACCCGGAACATTTCCTCTGCACAGCGTTGTAAATAACTTTCTTCCCTTGCAAAGGTTTCCGAGGCCACATCAGTGTTGAGCACTCGCACAACGGGCGCACTGTGGCTCCAAGCCTGCATAACCAAAGACACCCAGGGACAGGCTGACACAGTCTAGATGGAAGGTGCTGTGCTTTATTTAAATGGACTTCCTAAATACGATACAGTAGTTAGGCCTCCATTCTTATCCAGGTCTTAGCAGGAAATAAGCTTTTGAGAGGAGGGTCCAACAGAAAGCTGCCTCTGCTCTTGACGGGCAGAAACAAAGGAAGCACCAGAAACAAAGATCTGAGGCTGCACTTGACACCGCACACATCCCGCAAGGAGGGCGTCCTGAGCCCCAAGCCCGCTCCTCCGGCTCTCCCCAAACAAGAAGGACAAGGACCTCAGACTGTCCAGCCACGTCACAGAAAATGCCATCGCATCACGGCGTCCGTCCTGGGGGAAGGCTTTGCCGACTCTACACAGGAGTCTCCTGCCTGCGGCCCAAGGTGGAGGGAGTGGCGGGGGTCCCCACGCCTGGACGACGGGTGTCATTTCTACCTTTACCTTTTTCTCCATACAGTCAACAAATGGGCATTTTATTCTCTCTAAAACTACTCGGTATTTGAGAATGACTGATGTTCAGTTGTGCTAACAGGCTAAAGAGGCGAGACACCGAAGCATGGCTGGAGGCCATTCTACAGGAGGGACTGCGGGAGGTGGACCGGTCTCCGGAACCACTCGAGCAGGGGCTGGGCGGCCGCTCTCTGGACAGCAGTCAGAGACTCCTGTGCTGGGTCTAGGCCTGCCAAATCCTCATCTTCCGTCAAGGGGAAGAGTCAAAAGATAATGTCTCTAACTGTTTTCTCAGGAAAAACCCCCGACCAGATTAAGCTGTTGTTCAGAATTAAGAAGGGTACCAACAGAAGAAACAGAAACAGAAAGCCAAGCAGTTTCCTCTAGCAAGAAGGACTGGACACGGGAACGGGCGGGGCAAGGGACACTGGTCCTTACAAGTTCTCTTTTGCTTATTTGCCTTAGGTGTGCATTCGTGTGATGGAATTTTAAAAATTAAAAAAAATTACTGTGGGTTAAGAAAAAACGTTAATCACCCAGTTACTAAACAATACATTTCCAAAAATATTTAATAACCCTTAATAACATGGGAAGGCACACAGTACTTTATATCACACACACAAAACGAGGTCTGTCCAGAAAATTTCCAGCCATTGTTCATATATAACGAGAACAGTTTGCATGACATACATGTAACCTGGCAGCCAAGGAGAGTGGACTGGAGGGTGCATGCGTGAACAATGACGGCTTCACTGTACCAGTCAGTGGGGGCAGTAGATGTCATTCAGTGAGCACGTGTACTGTGTGGCAGTCACATCCAAAATGACCGAGTGAGCAGAGCCACAAATCTGCACCAGATTTTGTGTTAAGCCTGAACACTCCTCCATGGAAACTACTGGGATGACTCAGAAGGCTGCAGCTATAGGCAACTGGTGATTGGCAGCTTCATCTCGACAACATGCCTGCTCACGCATCACGTCTGGTGCAGAGATTTTTGGTGAAACATCAAATCACTCAACTGACTCAGCCCCCCTACAACGCCCTGTGACTTCTGGCTTTTCCCAAAACTAAAATCTTTGAAAGGGAAGAGATTTCAGACCACTGATGAGATTCAGGAAATTATGATGGGGCAGCTAATGGCAACTGGGAGAGCTGTGTGAGGTCCCAAGGTGCCTTCTTTGAAAGGGACTGAGGTGTCATTGTCCTGTGTACAAAATGTTTCTTGTAGCTTCTTCAATAAATGTCTCTATTTTTCGTATTACATGGCTGGATACCTTCTGGGCAGATCATATATATATATATATATATATATATATATATATATATACACACACACACATGGCCTATATATATAATCTGTTTATACCATATATATAACACACAGATACACCTAGAGAAAGGAAAGAAGTATGTAAAATGTTCTCACTGGAGCCCTGACCAGAGTGGCTCTGTTGGTTGGGTGTCACCCCAGAAAGAAGCAAAGCTCACTGGTTCAATGCCCGGTCAGGGCACATGCCTGGATTGTGGGCTTGGTCCCCAGTTCAGGCGCTTGCAAGAGGCAACCATTCAATGTTTCTTTCACATACCAATACTTCTCTTCCTCTCTTTCTCCCTCCTTTCCCATCTATCTATAAATAAATAAATAAATAATCTTTAAAAAATGTTCTCTAGAAAAACAAAAAAAAAGGAAAACTACAAAAAAATGTTCTCAATGACTCTGGGTGGTAAGAATAGCAGTGATAATTATTCTTCGTATTTTTCTGAAATTTTTTATGTTCTATAACAAACACATTAATTTCAATAATTCCCAAAAGACAATTATTATCACCTTTAACACCTTTTTAAAAATATAAAGCATTAACAAAAGTAAAATAAATAACAAAAAGCACAGTAACCTTGGTAGATCAAATATAGCTACAAATTCTCTGCAACTCCTGCCATCAGGTTGTGAACTGATCTCTCCTTGAGCCCGGGCTGGCCTCCTGGAAGGCGCCAGGCTCCAGGGAGGACCACGGGCTCCAGCCCCGGGCCGGCACCAGCCATCAGACCTGCGAGCGAGGCCACCCAGGCCAAACAACCGAGTTACTATCTCAGGTGTGACCAGCACAAGCGCTGCCTAGCAGTCTTGTTTTCAAAATCTTGAGCTGATAAATGGTTTCTGCTTTACCATGAGTTCGGTGGTGACTTGTTACACAGAAATAGGTAACTGACACAGCAGCAAATGTACAGCACCCCTTCCGTGCCCACCAGTACCTGTCCAGGGAGTCCCCGTGACCTCCTGGCTCCACTCGCTCCACTGACCATGTCCAAACTCCTCCTGGGCCCGCAGCTGCACCACGTGCTCCATGCCTTTCCAGGCGTCGTGGATGATGCAGTGATGCTGGAGATCCTTGACCTGAGGGCAGCGGCACAGTTAGTACTGGGGGACAGCTCCACGGGGACATGGATAGCCCTGGCCCCCTCTCTCAGATCTAGGGAGTGACTCAGCTGGGCACAGACGCTCCGAAGGCTGACACCACCCTGGCAGCGCAGAGAGAACGGGGGTGTCCTCTGGACCAACACAGGGAGAAGCTGGAGTGACTGCCCCAGCCCACGCACTGTGAAATCCTGCAGCCACACCCTTGACGTGCTCATAGCCCCCATGCATTTCCCAGGTCACTCTCACTCTTACAAACAGGCCTGTGAAGGGGAGATTGGTCTGACATCGCTGTTCCCCTTTACAGATGATGCCACCGACCTGCAGAAAGGCTCAGAGACTGACCGACCCGGGACCATGCGGCAGCGAGTGTAGAACAGGACCTGGAACCCATTTGCTTCTTTCTAGTAGCCTTTCTACTACCCCTAGGGCCCAAGGGTACTTTTCTTTCTCTTTTTTGTTCTTTTTGGAAAGGAAAAAATATTTTGGAGGGTGGGGTTTTAATGGTATATTCTTTCATTGATTTTTTTTCCCCAAGGGTACTTTTCTATCCAGAAGTAAAATAGTTACCATCCATGTCGTAAATGTCTTTGACCGTTTAGCCCGGTATCGGAGCTCAAACTGCAGCCTGTAGAAGTATGTGTTCCAGGAGGGGGGGTCTTGCCAGCTGACACTGAGCCAGCGGGGGTTTCTGTCCACGGCAGCGACGGTGATGTTGACGGGTGGGTCAGGCTGCACTGTGGGAAAAGGGTGCATGGCTCTTACGTGGTGGGAAGTGCAACACCCAGGAAAGACCCCCAAGAGCAGGAGCCACCCCAGCCCCAGAGCTCTCCCTGGCCCCCCACAGTTGGACCTGTCAGGTGAAGCTCCCAAGGCCCCAGCCCAGCCCCTCCCTGCCCCCAAGAAGCCCATGAGCAACCCACGGAGCAGAAAACCGCTCGGAGGTGCAGAGGGTGGCCTGCGAGAGCTTACGTACAGATTTCGTAACCCTCAAATGTTTGGGGTCTGCTGGACTCGTTCCCAGCACTGTTGGTGACACACAGGGACACAATGTAGAAAGCGTTGTCTCCCTCTGGGACTGCCAACTGGCAGGAGAACTTCTGGGACTCCTGGGAGTACTGGCACTGCTCCTGGAAGTCCTTCGCCGGCCCGTGCTGCCTGCGGGCACAAACGAGAGCGAGCGCTCAGCCTCTGTACTGGCTGGGGAGGGGAGAGGGTGCAGTGAGAGTGGTCGGGTGCTGCAGTTGGACCCGGGGCCTGCATCCTGGCTGCACACTTGGTAGCTCTTGTGACTCGGAGTAAACGATCCTCTCTGAGCCTGTGTCCACTCGTTTGAAAATGGGGAACATTAGTAGTGCCTGCCTCATAGTGGTTTGTCAAAAATGAGTGAAAAACACCTAGCTTTGTGCCTGGCAGGCCAAAGGTGTGGAAAGTGGGTGCACTCAGTCACCGAGGCACCAGACATGTGGTTCCTTGGCTTCCTGCCAGGTGCGTGCTCGTGGCAAGGTGAAGGCTGCAGAAATGAATCAGGGGAGGCCCCAACCTCAAGACCTATCCCCAGACAAAGTGGACAGCCCGTAGAAATGCCATTCCAGAAGCACAAAGTGCTAGGGGTCTAAGAAGAGCTGGCAGCATTTCCAGCAGGAGAACCCAGAAGAGAAGTCTGGGTGACCGAAGAGATTCAAGGGGAGTCGGACACCGTCTCGTCTGGCCTGGAGCTCGAGACTTCTCTCACTTAGGGCCTGCCTGGGCTTGCGAGGCCACGGCAGCCACTCACCCTGCTGCCAGGGCAACACATCCCCCACCAACCTCTGCTATGGGCTTAAACCCCAGGCCCAGACCAAATTCGTTCTGGGAAACCTGCCTCAACCTTCCCAGTCCGGGTTAGAGCCTCCCTCCCTCCCTCCATCCTTCCCTCCCTTCACACCACCCAGACTTCCATCCCCCCAACCCTGGGAAGGCAGGGTCTTGGGCCGCATGCTTACAGGTGTGTCCCCTGTGGGGCTGGAGGGCAGGGCTCAGCCTTCCGCACCTGCTGTGTCTCCCTCAGCCCCAGTATGGTGCCTAACCCGTGGCAGATGCTGAACTCCCCGAACACTCAAGGAATGAATGAGTGAGCAAGCACATTTCAGCAAGGGTGTGACTGTGTGCACAGAATCTCCTCCGAGGGGCCTGTTTCACCCCCCACAGCGCCAGTGGCTGAGTAGGGCCTGAATGGGTCCTGAGGTCCCCAGTGCTCGCAGTGGCTCCCCACCCCACTTCCTCAGTTCAAGGCCGAGACACCCCGCCCAGCAGGAGGATGGAAGTGCCGGAGGCTGCTGACAGGAGGAGGGTGTGAGCTGAAATGCTATTCTCTCTCTCACTCTTGCTGTCAGAATGCTGGTAAGGAGAGCACAGAGTATTCCAGCTGAACTGTCAATTGAATAAATTTACTATGTGCTAGTCAGGGCAGCTGCCCAAGAAACCAAACCGGCCTGTTGAACTCCCTGTTCAGATTTTTTAAAATATTTTATTTATTTATTTTTAGAGAGGGGAAGGGAGGGAGAGAAATATCAAGGCACGGCTGCCTCTTGAGAGCCCCGCACTGGGGATCTGGCCCGCAACCCAGGCGTGTGCCCTGACTGGGAATCGAACCGGTGACCTTTGGTTTGTAGGCCAGCACGCAATCCACTGAGCCACACTAGCCAGGGCCCAGGTTTTTTGATACTCTGAATACTGACAGCCCAAACTCAGATAGAAACACCTGGGCTAAAGGGCCCCTGCCTCCGGGATGGAGACAGACAAACTGCACGGGTGTATTGGTTTCAACATCTCCCCCTCCTCGGCACCCCTGTCCGAATTCACCCCAGGGCTCCCACTGCATGCCGTCTGCTGGTGCTAAGGGACCCCAGGCAGGTGTGGGTCCACCCCACCACCCCCAGCTCCCTCTCCACCCTATCACCACTCTCACCACTTCCTCTCACCTGCCATTCTCATGGAAAGAGCCTGATAAGCTCGCTGGGTCAGGATGGGATAAGGATAAGGAACCGGCGGCCCTTCCCTGCCCAGGGACATTTGCATCCCCTGAAGACGCCCCAACCCTGTGTGTTGTGAATGAAGTCAGACGGACTGGGTTTGGTTCCTAGCAGAGCTACGACTCAGATGACCTTAAACAATGTAATCAGTTTCTCGGAACTTCAGCTTCTCTATCTGTTAAAGGAGAAAAAGAACACCCACTTCCCACAGTTACCATGATGGTTAATAGGACAAATATCCTAGCACAGTGGCCAGCACAGGCAAGCACTTGAATTTAAGCCTCAGTTCCCTCACTCATTCCCTCCCAAAAGAATTATTTTCTAATGATAAAGTTGTGGAATCACTGGCTGGCCAGTCCCACTGTCTCCTCTGAGACCCCCCCGCCCCGCCCCAGAGCCTCAGTGGAGGGTGCGCAGACGCAAACCTCAGCCCAGCCCAGGATACTTACAGCCTCCTCACCAGTAACATAGCCTCAGTCCTCTGGGAGGGGGCGCTCCGAGGACTCCACTCACAGGCCACGTCGTTCACGGGGCTCTTCCGGAAGCAGGAGAGCTGGGGCTTCTCTGGAGGAGCTGAAAGGCCAGCACACCAGGCGTGAGATGGGCTCACCTCGCCTTCCTCCTCAGCGGAGCACCTAGCTCAGCCCTCCCCACCTCCCCACCCTCTGGCCCCAGAGCCGGCGCCAAACAGCCGCACACACAGTTTTGGCCGGGACAGGAAGGGCCTCGCTACAGCCAAGGGAGACACCCAAGGCTCACTTGCTAAAGAGAAGACAGAACAGCCAAAAAAATAGAGGCTTTGGAGTCACATAGGCCTGCTGTGTGGCCCTGGGCAAGTCCCAAACTCTTTTCAGTTTCCTACTATAAAATTAAATGATGATAAATAACAACAATAAAACTGCTTTCCCTCACAGCGGCATCAAGACACCAAGGAAGAAAAGACCTGGGCACAGGGCCTGGCACACGGGGCATCTGGCTCCAAGACATCTTCATCTAGATGTGAGGGAGCTAAGAACTTGCTAATTTTAACAATAAAAATAGTTCATTTGAGCTCTGGTTGGTGTGACTCAGTGGATTGAGCACCAGCCTGTAAACCAAACAGTCGCTGGTTCGATTCCCAGTTAGGGCACATACATGCCTGGGTTGCAGGCTAGGTCCCCATTTAGGGCTATACAAGAGGCAACCACACATCGATGTTTCTCTCCCTCTTTTTCTCCCTCCTTTCCCCTCTCTCTAAAAATAAATTAAAAACTAAAATCTTTTAGAAAATAATTAATTTTGGACTAGGCAGTATTTTCAACGCCGTGTGTGTGTGTACTCATTTAATCTTTGTACTAACTCTGAGGAAAGGACATCAAATCCACCTTATTTTGCTGAAGAGGACACAGAGGAGCAGCGAAGTGAGCTGCGCAGGAGGAGGGTTCAAATGCAGGCCATCTTGCTCCCAGCCCCATGCTACTAACCAGCCCACCTCACGCCCTGACTGCACAGCCAGGCCAGCTGGACGGTGTCGCCACCAGTCAGCCAGTTGCCCCCACCCAGGAGGAATTTCCGCCAGTCTCTCTGGCAGGCATCAGTGGGCCTTTCCCAAAATCTGCAGGCCAAGGAAATGACAGGAGTTTCAAGGGTCAGGCGGGGGATCTGAAACGGACTGAGCTGCACAGAGAGGGACATGTCTCCAAGAGCTCTGACGGCACAACTCACCCTCCACCAGCAGGCGCACAATTCCAACCCGGTGGCCGTTCTGGTAGCACGAGTAGTTTCCAGAGTAGCTGAGCAGCACGCGCCTCAGAACCAGCCTCCTTCCCATGCCAGCCCAGGTGCTACGGCGTGAGCCCGAGACCTGCTTCCTGAGCACCCAGTGAACCGTGGCATTGTCTTCCGGATCCACGCCCGGGCAGACCAGGGCGACGCTCCCTCCGGGCCTGCTGGTCAGCACGTCACTCTCCACCTCTGGGGAGATTGAAGACACTCGGTAAGTCCACAGCAAACTGAGGAAAGAACTTCATTTCTGACCTGGGGAAGCTGCAAGAGGCGTCAGTACTAAGCACCTCCCAAGTTCATCCTGTGGTCCAGGCCTCTGCCTGTATTACGGCAGGAGCCTCCCAGTGGCCCCCACGCTCCAGCCTTGGCCCTCTCCACCCAGCTGCCCGAGTGAGCCTTTGGAAGCCTCAATCTGGCCACCCAACTCCTTTGATTAGAGAACCCTTTAAGGGCCTGCCACTGCTCACAGCGTGCAGTCCAAAATTAAAGGAACGAGCAAACTTCCTTTTATTATAGGTTATAGATTCACAGACTCTGAGACTGGACTAATTCACGAACCAGTCTAGTAAATTAGTACAATCAGCTAAGGGCACTGAGGCCAGGGAATATAGCCAATTTCACGTTAAGCACATACAGTCCTTCAAAACAAATGTATAACCACTTACTGGCAAGCGGCAACAATCAATCTGGCCCAAGATTCCACAGGCCCAGCAGATGCCCAAGCAGCTGACCTCACCTCCCGCCCCTGCTCCTAGGCCTAGAGGACACGCACCAGTATCTCTGGCCTGCAAAGCCTTCTTGCTCAGGACGACAGTTTTTATGTCACACTTGGCAGACTGTCCTTCCTTCCACCCCGTCCAAGGCGACTGTCAGGGAGGAGGGACTAAGAATCAGCGACTCTCAGGAGATTAGCACTCCCAAAGCCAGGAGCTGGTTGTACAAACTGACCACGTCCACAGTCGAGGGATAAGGCACATGGCCATCAAAGGGACAGGGACGGCTTCTGTCCAGCACTGGGTCCTGCCTGGCTACCAGGCTGCCTTCAGGCGCCCTTCTCACCTTACCACTTGGAGCCAGAGTCCCCTGCAGTGACCAAACTCACTACTCAGTAAGTGAACAGTGAGTTCACTGCTCAAGGCCAAGGTAGCAGCTGGTCACCTGAGGAATTTTCCTCTTCCCTGAGAAGAGTGCTGAACCTCACTGTGCAGCAGGCGAGTCTGGCCAGGCGCTCAGACCTCACTTTCACCACTCTGGGCCAGGAAGCCCCCTTCTGCCCCACATTTAACAGACACTCAGGGAAGCCCCAGAGCCAGGCACCAGTGGGGTCACAGGGCTGCCTGTACCTCAGCAAAATCCCAGTCCCTAGAAGCCCCCTGGTGATACCTGGGTGCCCAGAGGGCTCACGAGAGTTATGAAAAGCCCTCATTACCTTTCTTTTTCTGTTCTCCTCACCCCACTTTTTCCCCATCACCATTAATCTCTCCTGTACCCTCCTCCCCCACACACCCCTCCCCCAGTTTTGTTGACATGTAAGTGACACACAGCACTGCGTAAGTTCAAGTAGCACACGTGACCTGACTCACATGTATTGTGAAATAATTGCCACAATAAGTTTAGTCATCTATCACCTCATGTAGACACAAAAAAAGAGAAAATAATGTTTCTTTTTTCTTGTGATGAGAACTCTTAGGGTCTGCTTAATTTGCCCCTTCCCCCCCACACACACACACACCACTGGTAACCACAAATCTGATCTCTTTTCCCATGGGTTTGGTTTTTTATCTTTGTTTTGGGGTTTTTTTAGACTCCACATAGAAGTGAGATCACACAATATTTATCCTTCTCTGTCTGACTTATTTCACTAGTACAATGTGCTAACACATTGTGCTCGAGGGCATTGTGCTATTTCACTTAGCACAATGGCCTCGAGCTCCATCTACGTGGTCCGTCACAAAGTGCAGGATTTCCATTGTGTGGGTACAGAACACCCCAGGCTGTGTGTGCGTGTGCGCCACACCTTCTTTATCCGCTCACCAGGCCACGGACACTCAGGTTGTGTCCCCGTCTTGGCTGTTGTAGATAACACAGCACACCTTTCATACATAACAGTCAATAACATAGTTCTATCATTTCAGATATTGCTTTTAAATAGATAACATTGAGTGCATGCAAATTAATATGCAAATGCATGATAGTTATGAAGCAGAAAGCATCCCGGGCTCCTACCAATCTAACTACTAGCGCAATCATCGTCTCCGCAGCCCCCTCTCTGCTTCTGCACCTTCCAGCTTCCCCACCTTACAGGGCGTGAATTTTAGGGTTATCACTCCTTACTTTTAAAAATAAGTTTACTACTTATGGATCCTTACATTTTTTCTTAATTTTGCTTGATTTTTAAGATTTTATAAGTGGCTTGTATTTAATCTTCTGGGATGTATTTTTGTCACTCATTATGTTTCTATGATTCAGTTACCAGTAGCTATACTTTGTTCATTTTCACTGCTGCATAATATTCCACGGTGCAAATATAGTAGCTCATCTTCCACCAATGGGAGTTTGGGTCATTTCCAGCAGTTTTACTATATCAAAGACTGTGGCCATCAGCTTCCTCACACGCAGCTCTTGGTGCATTTTCCCGAGTTTCCCTGAGAACAATTGCTGATCCTAGTGTGTATGTTACATGTGTCCTTTTCCTCCAAGACTTTTCCTTCATGAGTCCAATGGGCCGAAGCCCGAACAGCGCCTGAGGAAGGCGGCGGCTTGCCCTTCAGTCCCCACGTCCACTCCCACCTGTGCCTGAACGAGGTTACGTTTGGAAGGCACACCGACGACGCTGCTAAGCTCTGTACTGATATTTTCGCTTTTCCATTTTCTACTTGATAAAGCAGCTGTAAGGATAAAACCCAACAGGGCCATGAGCTCACACACAAGTTATTTTCACTGTAGGAACAAAGACGAGAGTCGGGGACCACTCTGTGTGGTTTCGGAGACTGTGTCCCCGAGAGAGCAGGCCTTCCAAGAGGCCAGGAGGTCTCCCTGGAAAACCAGGAAACTGCAGGGGACAGGCACCAACCGACCCAACACCCTGGGTTCCCGGTGGGAATCAGGCCTGATAAATACATTGTATCCTTTGAAGCCTGCTCACTCTGCTTTGCTTTGTATGACCCTGGTGATATAAACCGGATGTTTAAGTTCAAGGCATAAGGAATAAACTCCTTATCTCAAGAAACTCGTCTTAAAGACCATCTGGCATCAGCATGACTAACAGACACAGACCCTGAGGCAGATCTCTGTGTTCCTTCGATTGTTACCTGTAGATAATACCTGTTCCTGCATGACTGTAGCCTTTTGACATTGATTGATGAGCTAAGCATGTACGATGCATACACCTACACACACCATTCCCAGTAAAAGCCGTGTGGGAGAAGGGCTCTTATTCCCTCGGGGCATTCCCCCTAGAGGGAATCGCCACCCCCTTTCCCGCTGGACAAGGTTGTGTCCAGGACGATCTGTCCTCATCCGCGGCGGCTGGGAGAGCTCTGCAGGACGGGGCATCTCCCACAGACGAAGACCCTGCCAAAGCAGGACTGTCTGCCAGGGGGTGGCCCCATGGTGCAGCACTTACAACATCCCCACCAGGTGATGAGCAGACGTCAGATGTCACAAGGCGGTTTGGGAGCACCGACACAGAACAGACACGGGCAGGCTGCACGAAGGTCCAAGCAGGGGTCAAGGGTGGTGGGTGGCTCACCCTTTCATTGGCACTTTCCACGTGGCACGGTCCTGGGCTGCACACAGCTCCCCTCCCCCGACTGTGACTACAAGACTGTGAGCTCCTGCTAGCCCTCCTCCAAGAATTCAGAAGGTGCTTCATAAATGTTTGTTTAATGCAGGGTGCCAAAAGTGTGCCCAGAGGGTCAGGGCCCCCACACTGAAAACTCCCAGGAGCACAACTCACCGCTGACACGGTGGTCCGAGGTGCTCCCTCCAGTAGTGGGACGACGGGCTCTCTGCTGAGGGCAGAGCAGCCGGGGCCCAGCCTGGAGACACCGGGGAAAGAACTCCCTCCGGCTCGGAGCCGCAGGGAGCGCTCCTCTCTGCTTCTGCTTCTGCTTCTGCCAGTTCCAGGAAATAGGTCTCTCTGGTCACTTCCCTTACCCGGTTCAGACTGGGGCTCTGGCCGTGTTTAGTGACCGGCCTGAACAATAGCTGGGGCTGTTCTGTTCCTGCACTCACTAACAATGGCCAAAGTATTTGTGCAGCTCGGAGAAATAGCAAATAAAAAGACTTTTTTTCTCTTCCACAAAAGCAGAGCTGCGGGAGCAACATAATGGCCACTTCCTCTGCCAAGGGACTTCGGTAATGGTTTTCTTTAAACCTGAGTCATTATCTTTTTTTAATGGGAGGTGATTAATTATAAACAAGCCATTGGCAAGTATTGCCTGTCCCAGCCCTTCTCCCCAGTGTATTCCTTCTGGACCCTGAACAGCACTGTGTTAACTATGCTTTTTAAAGCACTGTATGCAAGATGGTCACAAACACTCAGAGGAAAGACCACGAGAAAATAAACTTGCTAAAGTCAGAGTGGGCAGCGCTGCCTCTCCCCGCCCACTTCCTCACCGCTCTGCCCCGGCCCAGACCTCGGAGTCGGACCCTGAAGCCGGGTGGCCATGGGGAGCCCCGTGGCATTTCTGTGAGGAGGAAGAAGCGAGGTTCACAGCACGCCCTCCTGGTATCTTCGTCCCCCTCACCCAGCGAGGGGGCAGGAGATGGTTTCTTTCCCGTCATCTTCCTGGAGTTTTTGAATGTTCTATAAGTTGCTTATATGACTCTTACCATGAATATATATACAAATATATACTTTTTATATATTATATTATATTATATTATATTGCATTATATTATATTATATATATATTTAAAACAAAAAAGTTGGGTCTGCCCAAGTTATGAAGTCTACGGCTGAGGGCTCACACAGTGGGCAGGGGGCAGGGGGCAGAGGGCAGAGGGCAGAGGTGTAGCGGAGCACCAGGGAATAAGGGTGGAGTGAGGGTGGGTTTTTCAGGACAAGCAGCCCCTGAGAGCACCACCCAGGCCTAACAGTGGCCACCCCTCCACCCCTTGCAGCTCTGGGTTCTGTCACTCTGTCTGTGTTCTACACCCTTAGCCCTCAGCTCTGCGGGCCTGGT